TAGGAATTAATGTGCGTATTGTAGAAAGGAGGGACATTGGAAGAGTGAGTGTCCACAGAGAGAGCAGTATGAAGGTGATAGACAAGGAGAGAGAAGGGTACGAGGAGGTTATAGTGGTAGTTATAGAGGAAGAGGAAGTTTTAGAGGGAATGGTGGGAATAGAAGAGGAAGTGTTCAAGGAGACAGATACTATCCACCCACGCAGAGACCTAGAGAAAGAGGATAGAGATTTTGCGGGTCTGGCTGACACTATCATGGAAGACTATTGATACCGACTGGGCTCCATCCCACTTGGTCGAGCGTAGCCTATGGTCGATGTAGCAATAGGGGGAAAGAGAAGTTCTTTCATGATCGACACAGGTGCTGAACATTCTGTGGTGAAGCATTAGTTCCTATATATGCCAGAGTGTCCGATTCAACTTTTAGGACGAGATCTATTATCGAAGCTTTAAACTCAGATAACCTTTTACCTAATGGATTAACATCTCTGAAGTTTAAGGGATTACCAGGCATAATGGTGATATCGGTGCCAAGGGAAGAAGAATGACGCTTCTATTCCATAGTAACAAGTGTTAACCCTAAGAGTGATGAATCCTTACTTGACATTCCAGGAGTATGGGAAGAAAATAATCCTCCAGGACTTGCTCGTAATATCCCACCAATACATATTGAGTTAAAGCTCGGGGTGTATCCTGTTAGCCTTTGTATGTTGTTCTTTTATCTACCCCAACAGCTGTAAAGGTGGCGGAAGTGACTCCTTGGATTCATCATTCTAAGGTTAAACCAGCAGCAGACTCTTGGCAAGCTACTCCAGATCCTGAGAATCCTTGCAGGACCCGGTTGAAGCGTGCAACTCAGTCGGAGTGACGAGGGGATAGCGAGACATTCTAGTTAAAAGTCTACAAAGATCATCAAGTAGGTGTTTTGACGGCCATAATAAAGCCTGACCACCTGCCTACGTGTCATAGCCAGAGTATCTTGAAGGGATCTCTGTGAAGGAAAGTGAGGATCAGAAGAACAACATCCTTGCAGCCCTCACAATCGGGAAGCTGAGAGGCCATCGCACGGTCGAAGAAAAATGAGGATTTCAGGAATAATGTGTTTTATTGTGTTTTAGTATTTTTATGATTTTTCAGGAAGGTAGGAGTACAGACATACCGAATTGCGATAGTTGCATTAAGACTACTAAAACAGGTAACCAAATATCCCAAACTTTCATCTGGCACTCACAGTATGAATGTAAGGGATCTGTATCTAAATGTAGATATTTGGATTTTGATTATAGTGTGTGCAAGCCAATATCAGGAGAGTCTAAATGTTTTGATCCCCATTTCCAACCCCGTACAGTTTGGTTGGTAATTCGGAATAGTAACTCCCAGGGGACATTACTAAATAGGACTGTGATAAGCACCATACATTCCGCGGGTATTCTACTATTTGATGCATGTAAGGCGATTTCGGGTAGTGGAAGACTTTGGAATGTATGTGGTAATCTTAAATGGGAACGAACTTATGGGTTTAATGATAAATACTTATGTCCCAGTAAAAGATCTACTGATCCTGATTGCCCAAATAGAGACTAACTTCTGCCCCTATTGGTCATGTGTAGGTTGGGCAACCTGGGAAAAACAGTGGATCAAGATATGATTATCCAAAGGTTGCCTACCACACCATACTGTAAAACTATGTGTGTAACCCCGTTCACATGACCATTTCCAATCTGCAGTACTTTATTGACAGGTTTGGAGGTCTGTTTGGGTCCAAATATATGGCACAGGAGTAGATTCAGGAACAATAATATATGTAGGTCTTGAAACTGAGACAGTGGCAACTCAAACTCATCAGGTTTCTCATTCCTTCTATGAGGAGAGGAGTATTGAGGATAAAATTCCCCATAATGTTAACAACCTATTTATTGATTTGGCTGAGGGTATTGCAGGTAGTCTTAATGTAACTAATTGCTATGTGTGTGGAGGTACTAATATGGGAGACCAGTGGCCATGGGAGGCAAAGGAAATATGGTACCCTGGCTCTGAGACATATGAACAACAGATACCTTTCCAGTCTGATCATCAAGTAAGTACTAGAAGTAAATTGGAATGGTGGTTAAAACCCTCCATTATAGGTCATGTTTGTATAGCCAGGAAAGGGACAATGTATAACACGTCTGTAGGTGAGCTAACGTGCTTGGGACAAAAAGCCTATAATGTTAATACTAAAAATACTACTTGGTGGTCAGCTTCAAATGTCTCAGAACCATCTAACCCGTTTGCAAGATATGCCAATTTAAAGGACATATGGTTTGATCTATCCATCACATCTAACTGGAAAGCCCCAGCAAATTTACACTGGATTTGTGGTAAGAAAACTTATTCGGAGTTACCACAAGATTGGGAAGGGGCATGTGTATTAGGTATGCCAAAGCCATCTTTCTTCTTGTTGCCTATTGAAACAGGTGAGACTTTAGGTGTTAAAGTGTATGATGTGAATCATAGGAAGAAAAGGGGACCCATAGAGATAGGTGCCTGGGAAGATAATGAATGGCCTCCCCAGCGTATTATAGATTATTATGGGCCAGCCACGTGGGCAGAGGATGGTACCTTTGGTTATAGAACCCCTATTTATATGCTCAACCGCATTATAAGGTTACAGGCGGTGGTTGAGATCATTACTAACGAGACATCACAAGCGCTCAATCTTCTAGCGAAGCATAATACCAGGATGAGGACAGCAGTTTACCAAAATAGATTAGCCTTGGATTATCTTTTGACAGTAGAGGGAGGTGTATGTGGGAAGTTTAACCTGAGCAATTGCTGTCTTCAAATAGATGACGAAGGGCAAGCAATAGCTGAACTTACAAGCCACATGGTTAAACTAGCGCATGTGCCTACTCAGGTATGGAAAGGGTACAATCCAAGTAGTTGGTTTGGTAGCTGGTATGAGTGGTTTGGAGGGCTTAAGGCAGTGGTAGGTGGAGTCCTACTGATTTTAATGTTGTGTCTACTCCTGCCGTGTCTTATACCCTTAGTAGTTAGGTCTGTGCAAAGCCTGATAGAAAATATAGCAGAGAGGAAGGCTGCTGCACAGATAATGGCAATTTATAAATATAAGGGAGAACCAATGCAGGAAGACGAGTGTTGAAGATTCACATCATAGGATAAGTCTGGTCTGGTTCAAAGGTAACTTGTGGTGTATGCAAACCAAGGTTAAGTGATGCCTCAAGTAATTGTAAAATATCAAGAGGCATCAAAGGGGGGAATGTGATGGGATTCCAGCATGGTTAAAATTTAGTAGGCCAAAATCTCCATGTGGCATATGTGTATGTTGTGTCAGTTGGTTAGCTACATGTAGCTAGGATACTGTCATCAGTGTACTGAGCATGTGCAGGAATGCAGGAACTGAAATTGCACTTATTTCCTTTGTCTTGGATGGGCCATGTGGTTTGACTAGATGTACAAGTCTATATTCTGCTCATTGATTGGTTAAAGGTATATGGGTGTAGCTATTAATGGGAGGAGTTATGTGCCTATATAGGGAGCCTGCACTATTGTTCAGGGCTCAGAACTTGCTGTATTTTTGGTGACATTAGTCCCTCTGAGTCCCGATCGGTGATCCAATAAAGAATCTCTTCCTTCCTGAAGAAACCTGTGTCCATCCCTCTGTGCTTTGCTTCCGTCAGTTTCTCCGGTATCACAAACACATGGCAAAACTATCAGTAATCTGTATAAATAAACACATGGCAAACTACCAGTAATCTGTATAAATAAACACATGGCAAAACTACCAGTAATCTGTATAAATAAACAC